CCAGCGAAATTGGTTTAGGTGGCTGGGGAAGGGCGCCATTCTTTTGAACTGGACGAAGGAAAGTAATGGGAAAATTTGGAAGAAAAAAAACGTAGCCTAGAGGGTTTTTATTGGTTTAAAACCCCTCAAAAAAGGAGCCGAAATTTGGGGGGGATTTTTCAGTCCTGATTTTTTGAACATTAGGCGAGTGGACAGGATAAACAGGGACCCCAGCTAAGTCTTTTTCTATATTTATGTTGGGAAAATTTTGGGGCCGGGATTTTTTTTCAAATTTTAACAGGGGGTTTTTGTAGGGTACACCGTAATTCCGGACCCAATTTTGGGGAGTGGTTTTTAAGAAAATTCTCCGTAATGAATATGTATTTAACCTTTAAAAATTTTAAAAACACCCATAAATAAATTTAATGTTTTACTAGAATTCCTGGGGATGTAATTTTTTCTTTGGTTTTTTGGTCCGATTTACTTGGGAGATATAGATTGTAGAAGGTTTCGAAGGGGGAAAATTTTTTGGCACCAAGGTGTCCTTTAAAAATTTTACTTTTCTCTGTAAAATTTGATTTAAAAAATAATTATTTTGTTCCCTTTTTTGGGGGGGACGAAACTAATAGATTTTATCCGGTAAAATTTTAAATTTTCCCCCCCGATCTTAAAGTACTTGTCGAAAGTTCTGCATTCCACAGCTTTTACTTTGTTACTGTTTTAACTACAAAACTGTTTTTAAAAACCCCAGCATCCCCATCTCTCAGTGGGGATAACAAAAAGCTGTGTTTTTGCCCCCCAGCATTTGAAACTTCAGTGAGATTTAAATAAACTGTGTTTTTTAACGCCTCTGTTTTTTTTCTTTTCCCGCAGTAAAATTTTTATCTTTGGTTCCTCTTGATTAATTTAACATCTCTACAGGCAATATTTCTTATATTTGCTGGTAATAGCTGAAGTGAAACACGAAATCATAATTACAGGATTGTAAACAAACCACGTTACGGACGGGGATCGAACCCTAGTCTACTGAGTCGCAAAACTCCACACCGGCGCGTTAACCACTGTGCCAGTGCCTAACGCGTCAGTCTGTAGTTTTAGGACTCACTAGCCGCGAGTTCAATCCCACTCTTACCGTGATTTTATAGTTGAAGTGTTTAGAAAATCGGATGTTTACACAATTTTCTCTATTTGTGTTTATGTCATCCCTACTTTTAATTGCTTTAAATTTATCATTCATGCCGTAACTCTTGATTCAGTAAACAGTTATAATAGTGTGTTCAGTAGGGACCTAACTCAAGTATTTTTCATTAATATATGATCAAGTATCTGTCTCTTCTCCATACCAGAGAGCTCATTATGTTTAGCTGGATATGACCAACAACAGTCGACTGACGGTTCAGTTATATATATCTTCTTCAATAATATTTACACATAATGTTTACATATAATCAGAAAGAAAGAAATTCAACGAAACTCTTCGTAAATATTTCTGTTTTTCTTAAAAAATATATATAATGTCATGTTTAAATTTGATTTTTTTAATTTTTAATAATAACAGAATTTAATGAAAAGTTTGTTCTTGGTGAATATAAATGAAAAATAATTTTTTTTTTGGGGTTTTTTTTTGGTTTGTTTTAAAATCGATTACATAAAAAATAACATTCGGAAAAATTTTTTAAAAAAAAGTGAAGTGGAATCTAGTGGTTTTTTAAAAAATTTGAGTTTCTCGGTCATGATTATGTCAAGTTTAGGCAGCAAGAATCATTGGAATGGGAGAACCTGGAGATCCGATGGCTCCCCGGTCTTCGGGACTGCAAAAAGGTTTTTGAGAAATGGTCTTGTGGGTGTGTGGGTTTTCATAGCCCGAGGAAGGGCGACACACGGTTTGTACTGTGCGGGGGTCTTGGTGACCTGTGGTACTGGGGGCCCCTTTGGGGTTTGGTATGGGTGGGTTATTTACCGAGTTTTGTTACATACTGGGGTTTGTTTCAGTCTTGTACCAGTCGGTGTAAAATTGGGGAAAACGTATTGAGTTTTTATTGTGTCTGTGTTATTACTGTGGACTATTGGGTCTTGGTACATACTGGTTTGGTACTGGGTCTTGTTAGGGTTCTGGTCTGGTCACGTACTGAATTGCGTCTTGTAACTTTTTGGGTAATTTGGGGAAGTATGGGTTTGGTACTTCGTTGGCGGGGTTGGTAGGGTTGATAGAAGGTGTGGGGACGACTTGTTTTTGTAGATTTTTTTATACATGGACCTGAGAGAGGGGAATAATATATTTTTTAAATTTACTTCTCAAGAATTCTTAAAAAAAACTTATTTAAAGTGTTATCAATAATTTTTTAAAAATATTTCCAAAAGCTTCATTTCACTCTGTTCCCCATGCTGCGGGGAATGTTTTTAATTAAATTGGGTTTTTGAGAGGTTTCCATACTGTCTGTGGTATTTAGTATGATGGGGAAAATTATTCTGTACTGAATTCAAACAAAATAATGTTGGCCTGTGTCTGGTACTGGTAATTGGTCTTGGGTAGCAGGGAGTGGTTGGGGTAGTTTGGGTCAGCCACCACGCCCCCCCACAGCCAACACCACCACACACCCTGAAGCGCATCTGTAAATATTAAACCCTTTTTTTATTTAAAAATTAAATACTTGGGGGTTATCTATACTTTTTTTCTGTTTCTTGATTTAGAACTTGGAAAGATAATGAAGTAAATCCAGAACGAGAGCTCACTCTGCGAGTAGTTGATAGTACAACAAGAGGGAGAAGGCTGATAGTATGATCGAGAAGTGTTGCAGTATTTATAGTGTACCGCTCCTTCCATTGTTGCCAGAGGTCGCTGGGAAGAGATGGAAGATATAGTGGAGGATATTGTGGCTCACTTTTATTTAAAGTGATATTTATTATTTGTTCATGAGAAAGGAAGAAAATTGCATAAAAATATTCATGTTTTCGGTCTACTTGCGTTCTTCTTTTCTACATTTAAAATTTCTCTTCTACAATTTCCTGTTACTAAATCTTTAATATGGTTTTCATAAAATAATAAAAGTTGCATCATTATATATATTTTACAAATGCGTATAATTTATGTATGTTTAATAATTTACTTTTTTTGAATGTTTGGTAAGAAGTAGCTGTCTGCGTATTTTTAATGGGAGACATCAATTAATATTTTTCTTTGAAATGAACTTATTAACAATTACGATGTGCGAGTCACTGGACGATGGTTCAGGACTTCAGGTGACCTTGTCTCCAGACAGTCACTTAGGCAGCAAGACCCAGTGAGGCCACAACTCTAAACACCTTGATATTGATAACTGTACAAGAAACATCTGTGTATATTCATAGAGAGATGTTTTTCTCATGTGAATATGCACTAAGCTTCCTTAATCTCTTTTACAGGAAATAAGTTAATCGTGCTGTAGAGGCGATTTGCAACCTTAAAGACCCTTTTGAAATCGACAGACTTTTTACCTACGAAATTAACTTTTAAAATTAATCATTTAACGTTGCGAGCAATGTCTGATCAACATGGACATCTCATCTACTTAAACAAGTAAAAAAATAATGTACAGAAGTCTGCTACCTCTCAGAATATATAAAAATAAAATTTTCTTTTTGTTATGCATTTCGTTTTAAATCTGTTCTTGAAGAAGGAAGCTGTCTCTGTGGAGTATGCAAAACAGAGACACAACAGTCTGATTGGTCAGCGACTGAGCCGCTGTTAGGAGGCTGATTATCGAACCTTCACTTCTTCTTGTGCTGAATGACCCACGTGGGTTTACCGCATCATGAAAGATTATTTAATAAAGGCATTTCTTTAAAGCTGGAGAGTTTCCGTGTGTGACACTGAATCAAGTTGATAATGTTTGTTTTATTCCTAAATGTTTAGCTTTTCTAGTTTTCTTAAAGTTTCAGACCAGACAATGAAATAATAATGAAACTTGATCGATCTAATGTGCTTGTCGTAAAGTTATATACTCCATAGCATCTTATTTTGTTACTGTGACAACTACAAGCTGTGTTATAACCTACTGCATCTTTATCTCTCAGTGAGATAACTACAAACAGTGTTATAACTCACAGCATATTGATCTCTCAGTGAGATAACTACAAACTGTTATAACCCACAGCATCTTGATCTCTCAGTAAAAGAACTACAAGCTCTGTTATAACGCGTCTGCTCATTTTCTTCCTACAGGAAATGAAGTCGGTTCCTCTTGATTAATTAAGTAAACAAACCACGGTACGGGCGGGGTTCGAATTCTCGGCTACTGAGTCGTAAACCTCCAGACCAGCGCGGTAGCCACTGGGCCAGTGTGCTCAATAGGGCCATAACTCAAGTATATTTCTTTAATATATGATCAAGTATCTCTCTTCTCTGTCGGTATTTTATACCATTTTAATGTTCAATCTGTCAGACACTGCAACACAAGGGTATCTTGGTACAGACCTGAAATCAACTTCGACAACCTCTGCTAGTGAGAACGGTTGATTTGAGAAGGACCTGACCTCCCAACATCTGCGTTCTACTAGTGACCTACGTCTCACCTCCTGTTGATATTGTTTCAGACTACGGAACAATGCTCTTCTCCAGACTGAGGGACTGACCACCTCAAAACTTTAAGGGTGATGGACTGATTACATCGTCTTCAAGTCTCTTCTGCTTCTATCAACTTTTCTGTACTCGACTGAAGAAGCCTACTGTGTAGGCGAAACGTTTCGAAATAAAGATACCTAACTGTTGCATATGTGTCTTACCTAACTATCTCTCTTCTCTGTTCCAGAGAGTTCATTATATTTCGCTGGATATGTCCAACAACAGTCGACTGACTGTTCAGTTTTAGATGTTTTCTTCAGTAATATTTACACATAATGTTTACATATAATCAGAAAAAATAACAGAATCTTAATGAAAAGTTTGTTCTTTGATGAAATATAAATACAAAATAATTTATAATTATGGGTTTTATTTTTATTTGTTTTTGAAGTCGATTACATATATAAAAAATAACATTCGAGATAAATATTTTAGTAAATTGACGTGGAATCTAATGTTCGTTACAAAGAATTGGGTTTCCTCTGCCCATGATGATAATGCCAAGTTTAGGCAACAATGGATCATTTGGAAGTTACGAGAATACTGGAGATCAGATGGCTGCCCAGGTCTTCAGGAGTCATAGAAAGGCTTGAAACGATGGAACGATGGTCTTGTAGGTGTGCTGGGTCTTCAGCAACCGTAGGAAGGCTTGGGGCACACGGTCTTGTAGATGTGCTGGGTCTTCAGTAACCGTAGGAAGGCTTTGGGCACACGGTCTTGTACGTGTGCTGGGTCTTGGTGACCGTGTGGTACTCGGGGACCACTTGGGTTTGGTACTGGGTGTGGTATTCTACCTGAGTCTTTGTTACATACTGGGGTTTGTATTCAGTCTTGTACACAGTCTGGTAGTGAGTCTGGGTAACGTATTGAGTCTGGTATTGTGTCTGTGTTATGTACTGTGGCACATATTGGGTCTTGGTCACATACTGAGTTTGGTACTGGGTCTTGTATACGGTCTGGTACTGAGTCACGTACTGAACTTGCGTCTTGTAGACTGTTTGGGTGACATACTTGGGAACGTACTGGGTTTGGTACTTGGTCTGGTACTGGGTTTGGTACTGGGTCTGATAAAAGGTGGTGGGGACGACTTGTGTTTTGTAGACTGTTTTATACACTGGCACCTGCAGAAGATGCAATAATATATTATATATTTACTTCTTCAAGAATTCTTAACAATACTTACATTAAACTTGTTAGAAATTTAAAAAATCTGCCTCAAAACTTTGTTTCATTCTGTTTATGCTCATGTCACGGTATGCTAAGAATGATATTAATTAATTGGTCTTTCTGATGGATGTTTCACAATACTGGAATGCTGGAGATTCCCCAGCAATGACCTGCTGGAAAAGAACTAATATTGGCCTGCTAGAGATGCCCAATTACTGACCAGGCTTAATGACCCAGTATTGTCCTGCTTGACAAGTCCCATTACAGACCTGATATAGATGTCCCAGTATTGACCAGCTTTACTTATCCATGCACTGACTTACAAACGAACTAACCTGCTGGACCTGTGTCTGGTATTGAGTGACATACTGGGTCTTTGGATAGCAGGGAGCTGGTTGAGGGTAGCTTGGGTCAGCCACCACTGCCACCACCACAGCCAACACCACCACACACACTCCTGAAGCCTGCATCTGTAACATAAGTAAATCAGCTATTAAAAATTGTAAAATAAATATTTCAGGCATTTTTAGAATGTTACCATAGTTTCTTGATTTAGAGCTTAAAATGATAATGAAGTAAATCCAGCACGAGAGCTCACTCTGCGAGTAGTTGATAGTACAACAGAAGGGAGAAGACTGATGGTAGGATCGAGGAGTGCTGGGGTATTTATAGTGTGCCGCTCCTTCCATTGTTGCCAGAGGTCGCCGGGTGGTGACGGCAGGTATGCTAGAGGAGACTGGCTCACGTTTTGTTTATTGGTCAATATTTGTTCATGTGAGAAAGCAAGAATTGCGTGATGTGAATTTGCGGAAAATCCTAAGGTTTGCTCGTCATTTTCTATTATTTTGTTCTTCTTTTCCTCGTGTTAAATTGTTATCATCAATTTTCTGTTCATATTCTCTGACTTTTTTTACATTTTTAAGTAATTCTGTCTGTAAAAAAAAAGTATTTTCTTAAATTTTTTCTTCCTCTTCTTACTAAAATTATTTTTTTTTAATGACGAAATGATCAACTTATGCATTATTATTATTATTATTATTATGATTATTATTATTATTATTATTATTATTATTATTATTATTATTATTATTATTATTATTATTATTATTATTATTGTCATTACTATTATAATTATTGTTATTATTTCTGTTTATTGTTATTATTGTCATAATAATTATAATTATTATTATTTCTTCTTCTTCCTCTTCTTCTTCTTCTTCTTCTCTTCCTCTTCTTCTTTCTTCTTCTTCTTCTTCTTCTTCTTCTTCTTCTTCTTCTTCTTCTTCTTCTTCTTCTTCTTCTTCTTCTTCTTCTTCTTCTTTTCTTTTATTATTATTATTATTATTATTATTATTATTATTATTATGATTACTATTATTATTATTATTATTATTATTAATGTACTTTTAAACGACTCCTAAAAACTGATAGTCAGAGTTTCTTCATGAAACAGATGGTTCAATGTTTTCCCTGGCGTTGAGTTTTTTCTCGTTAACAAGGACTATGTGCCAGTCTCAGGACGGTCGCTCACGGCCTCACGCGACCTCGTCTCCAAACAATCACTTAGACCCAGCAAGAAACACTCAGGTAAAAGATCTCAGCGAGGATTACTTAGGCAGACCCAGCGAGGAACACTCAGGTAGAAGGTCCCAGCGAGGATTACTTAGGCAGACCCAGCGAGGAACACTCAGGTAGGAGGTCCCAGCGAGGATTACTTAGGCAGACCCAGCGAGGAACATTCAGGTAGAAGGTCCCAGCGAGGATTACTTAGGCAGACCCAGCGAGGAACACTCAGGTAGAAGGTCCCAGCGAGGATCACTTAGGCAGATCCAGCGAAGAACACTCAGGTAGAAGGTCCCAGCGAGGATCACTTAGGCAGATCCAGTGAAGAACACTCAGGTAGAAGGTCCCAGCGAGGATTACTTAGGCAGACCCATCGTGGAACACACAGGTAAGAGGTCCCAGCGAGGAATTCTTAGGTAGAAAGACCCCGACGAGGCGTCGAATTTAAGTATTGGTTATTGGGTCCTATGGAAGGGACATCTGTGTATATATACAGAGATGTTTTCCTCAAATGTATAAATATTTGAAGGAAACAGTCTTCTTGACTGAGGTATACAGTTGATGCAACCTAAGATGTTGTACATGAATGGTCTATAATACCGACAAAATAAAGAATAAGACACATGTGCATTATCTTTGTATCTTTATTTATAGACGTTTCTCCCTCCAGTGTCTTTATCATTGCAAATTCAAGGACATATATCCTTGAATCTGTATTGATAAAGCCACTGGTGGGCGATACGTCTACAAATAAAGATACCCAGATATGGCACGTGTCTAATTCTGCAACCTTATTGACCCCTGTGCTGTCGACAGACTTTTAACTCGGGCAACCAACTTGAAGAAGGAATCATTTAGAACGCTGTACACAACACATGAACAACCCTCGAGTACGCAGCACTGGCATGGAGCCCTCACCGAATCGAATAGAAAAGAAATCCGAAGTTAACCAATAGAGTGTAGGCTGTTTTGAAACGCATGCGTCGCAAGGAGAGACTAGAGAAGTTTAATGTGGTATGACTAAAGAGGAGATATGGTCGCGACGTAGAAGATTGCATAATTCTCTGTAGGTATTTAATTTAACGGTTATAGAACGTGCTGTTGATTTTCTTGAGTTATTTATGCTTGTTTCACATTTGATAATGTTCTTTGCTTGGTGCTTCCTGTTGCTTGATTGCTACTTCACTCAGCTCACATATGGAGGCTCGTGGTTCGATCCCCGGTACGGGTGGAAACATTAGGACGTGTTTCCTTGAGAAACCTGCTGTCCCTGTTCACCCATCAGTAAAATAGGTAGTGTTAGTAGACTGGTGTGGGTCGCATCCTGAGGAGAAAATTGGCCTAATTTGACCTAAATGCTTTGCAGAACCAGAGACTTTCTATATAGTAGTTTGTCATTGATGTCAGCTATGTCTGTTTACGTAGTACATAATAATGATTATTATTATTATTATTATTATTATTATTATTATTATTATTATTATTATTATTATTATTATTATTATTATTTTACTAACCTAATGAATAGACAATTGTAGTATTTTTTAGTTTACTAAGTTTGAAGCCTATCCATTGCACGACTGTCACTACAGCTGCATATCAAATGTACGTAAGCAGTCACTAATGATCTAACACCGAAGAAATTTTGATTAAACTAAAATCTCAGTTTATATGTACAGATTTATATACATCTTATGCGTTCCAATAAGTGTGATTCCAATGTATATATTTCGATGGGAATATAGTTCTCAGAATATATAAATTTGAACTCTTGTTTTAATAGTTTGGTCTTGAGGAAGGAAGCTGTCAGACGCTGCTGAAAGGTCTGTCAGTGTGGACTTTATGAAGCCCCGACACCAACAGCCTGATTGAACACGGACTGAGCCGTGACTACTGGACAAGTTATCCAGCCTCTGTCACTCCTTATGCTGAATAAAACACGTGGGTTTAACACTTAGTAAAATATAATACAACAGATATAGAGAGACTTCAATTTTGTGACACTGAATTAACTTCATTAACTTTGCTTTCTAATTAAATATTTTAGTTCCCTGCTTTTAACTGGGTTAGTTTTATATTCCCCTCAACCCCGTATCTCTTGATTCTGTAAACATGGTATTGTGTTAAGTACCTTGCTCTCGGAGTGTTTACCTTTTATATTCGATCAGGTATTTCTTCACCGTCCCTGAGAGAACATTATCTTTCGTCCAGTTGGACATGGCAAACACACGATCACTGACTCAGTTGGACATGGCAAGCATCAGACCACTGACTCAGTTGGACATGACAAACACCAGACTACTGACTCAGTTAGACATGGCAAACACCAGACAACTGACTCAACATGGTTTACCTATATGTGTGAGACTTTCATCAACATTTACATATAATCGTAATCAGATAGTGAAGGGACGAGTATTACAAAGACTCTCGTTATTGAAAAACAACGACAGGACGAAGCATCACTACCAAAACATTGTAATTTTGCTAAATACTCATATATTATAAGTAAATCTGATGATCTTTAAAACAAAATAATTTAAAACTGTATAATTTATTTTGGTTTGTTTTGAAGTCGATTGCATACATTAAAAATATTCGAGATAAACATTTTATTAAAGTAACGTGGAATCTCGTGTTCGTTATAAATAATGAAGTTTCCTCTGTCCATGATAACAATGCCAAGTTTATACAGCAATGAATCATTTGGATGAGAGAAGCCTGGAGATCTGATAACTGCCCAGGTTTTTAGGAGCTGCAGGTAGGCTTTGAGAAGATGGTCTTGTAGGTGTGCTGGGTCTTCAGTAACCGTAGGAAGGCTTGGGGCACACGGTCTTGTATGTGTGCTGGGTCTTGGTGACCG